AGCAGCTGTTCCTCCTGCTGATGCTGTTGCTGTCGCAGCTGTTCCTCGTGCTGCTGCTGCTGCTGCTGCAGCTGTTCCTGCTGCTGCTGCAGCTGTTCCTGCTGGTGTTGCTGTTCCTGCTGGTGCTGCTGGTGCTGCTGCTGCAACTGTTCCTGCTGCTGCTGCAACTGTTCCTGCTGCTTCTTCTGCTGCTGCAGCTGTTCCTCCTGGTGCTGCTGCTGCCGCACCTGTTCCTCCTGGTGCTGCTGTTGCTTCTGCTGTTCGCCCTGCTGCTGCTGCTGCTGCTGTTGCTGCTGTTGCTGCTGCAGCGGTAACCAAGGAAAAGAGGACAGAGGATCGTATGCTTGTTGGCTTAAGGATGACTCAAGGCCTCCATAGAAAGGGTTTTGCATCTGCTGCTGCTGCTCTGTTGCTGCTGCTGTTGCTGCTGTTGCTGCTGCTGCTGTTGTTGTTGTTTGTGCTGCTGGATCAACGGGTAGATGTGGTGGCTCTGCTGCTGCAGCAAGAGCAGCAAAATTAAAAATGTCGTGCTGCTGCTGCTGCGGCTGCTGCTGCTGCTGCTGGTCAGCGGGGTGTCTGCCCTGGTCAAAGATAGTTCCGCTAGGAGGTGTTGGCCCAATTGCTGCTGCTGCTGCTGCTGCTGCTGCAGGCATTGCTGCTGCTGCTGTTGCTGGTGTGGCTAAGGGTTGGGGTGTATTGGCAGCTTCTTGCAGCAGCAACTGTGCTTCTGCTGCTGCTGCTGGTGGCATAAGAAAGTTAAGGAATTCCTCCACTATATTACCTTCAGGTACTGTATCCTGTTGCTGCTGTTGCTGCTGTTGCTGCTGTTGCTGCTGTTGCTGCTGTTGCTGCTGTTGCTGCTGCTCCTCCGCACTGGCACCATAGATTAGGTTATCTGCTGTGTGTATCTGTGCTGCTGCATTTGCTGCAGTCCCTACATAAGCCGCATTCGCTGCAGCAGCACTTGCTGCAGCAATAGGAGGAGCAGCAGGTGAATGAGATACAGCAACAGGAGCAGCAGCAGCAGCAGCAGCAGTAGCAGCAGAAATAGGACAATTAGCACTAGTAGATAAGAAATTATTTGCTGCCTGTGTAGTACCTAATGCTGCATATTTATAACAAAGAAGAGAGGAGACATTAAAGGAGACAAAATGGCAAGGCTGAGGGACAATACGCATGCGGTGTATAGCATGAGGATCTGCTGCTGCTGCTGCTGCAGCAGCAGCAGCAAGCTGCTGTGCAGCACGACAAGATGCCTGGCATGCACTTATGCTGCTCCTCTTATCTACCTCTGCAGGTAATCCTGTTATTAATATATCCTTTAATACACAAGAAGGAGCAGCAGCAAAATTAGATATTATTTGCTGCAATTGCTGCAGTTGCTGCTGCTGCTGCTGAGGTAAATGCTGCAGCAGCAGCAAATCATTCTCTTTCTTTATTTGTCTGCTGCTGCTAAACCCTAAACCCTTAAATGCTTCCTCTGCTTCGCTCATTACTACTGCACGTACACCTGCGCGCTCACGACGGTTGCTGCTGCGGCTGCTGCTGCGGCCACTGCTGCTGCTGCTGCTGCTGCTGCTGCTGATGTTGCCGCTGCTGCTGCTGCTGCTGCTGCGGTTGCTGCTGCGGCTGCTGCTGATAGGACGCTGCAGACGAGCAGCAGGAGTTATTGACCTCTCAGATAAACGACGCACAGGAGCACCAGACGCATGCAGCTGTTGTAGCTGCTGCTGCTGCTGCTGCTGCTGTTGCTGCTGCTGTTGCTCCTGGTCATCCTCCTGCTCCGCCGGTTTACGCTGCTGCTCCTTCTCCTGCTGCTGGTCGTTCTGCTGCTGCTGCTGCTGCTTTGCATCCTCCTGCTCCGTCCGTTTATGCTGCTGCTCCTTCTCCTGCTGATGCACGTTCTGCTGCTGCTGCTGCTGCTGCTGCTTGTGCTGCTGCTGCATAACACGAGATGCTGACGGATAGCTTAAATCTCCTGTATACACAGATGCTTGTGTCCCTTGTTGCTGCTGTTGCTGCTGTTCCTGCTGCTGCTGCTGCTCCTGTTGCTGCTGCAGCAGCAGTTGCTGCATCTGTAGTTGCAAGAACTGTTGACGCTGCCGTTCTAATTCTTGATATTGCTGCAGCAGCCCTTGCTGCTGCTGCTGCTGCTGCTGCTGTGGCAGCTGCTGCTGCTGTGGCAGCTGCTGCAGCTGTGGCAGCGGCTGCTGCTGTGGCAGCTGCTGCGTTAGTTGTTCTTGTTGCTGCTGCGGTTGCTGCTGCAACTGTTGCTGTTGAAGGAACTGCTGCTGCAGGAGTTGCTGCTGCAGCAGTTGCTGATGCAGGAGTTGCTGCTGCTGCAGCTGTTCCTGCGATTGTTGATTAAGCGGTTGGTTTAGAAGTTGTTGCTGCAGCAGCTGCTGCTGCTGCCCATCCTGTTGCTGCTGCTGCTGCAGCTGCTGTTGCTGCGCGAGCTGTTGTGCCAAGAGCAGCTGCTGCAGTATATGCTGCTGCAACTCCGGTTCCTGTTGCTGTTGCTGCAGGAGTTGCTGCAATAGTGGCTCCTGCTGCTGCTGCTGCTGCTGCTGCTGCTGCTGCAGCTGCTGCAGCAAGTCCTGTTGGGTCCCTTCTGCTGCAGTGTCTGGCCGTTCAATTTCTATTTTAAATAGTTCTTGCTGCATTTGCTGCTGCAGCTTTTGCTGATACGCCTGCTGCTGCTGCTGCTGCTGCTGCTGCTGCTGCTGCTCTCCTCCCCCTCCCCCTCCCCCCCCCTGCTGCTGCTGCTGCTGCTGCTGCTGCTGCTGCCTAAGTTCCTTAACAGTATGCTCAAATGCATTAAGTGTTTGTATCCATGAATCTTGTGGATGTGTTAATCTATAAGAAATAAATAAATCTGTTTTTTTGTTTGCTTCCTCTGCTGCTGTATACGTCTTATATAATGTATCTATTAATCCATCTAATATATTTACTCCTCCTCCTGCTGCTCCTGCTGCTCCTGCTGCTCCTGCTGCTCCTGCTGCTCCTGCTGCTCCTGCTGCTCCTGCTCCTCCTTGTGCTGCTGATAGGGTTGTTTGTAGGGGTGATATTGGTGTAACTGCAGCAGCAGCAGCAGCAGCAGCAGGGAATAGAGGTGATGATAGTCCTGCTGCTAATGGGGTGGTTGATGATTGCTGCTGCTGCTGCTGCTGCTGCTGCTGCTGCTGCTGCTGCTGTTCAGCTGCAGCAGCAGCAGCTGCTGCAGCAGCAGCAACAGCTATTTGCTGCTGTACATATTGAGGGGATAAGAGAGGAAGCAGCAGCAGCTGCTGCAGCTGATGGGGAGAAAGAGAGGATAATCTATTAGATAAAAAAGTACCAGGTGCTGCTGCTGCTGCTGCTGGTGTTGTTGCTGCTGCTGCTGCTGCTGCTGCTGATGTTAATAACTTTTGTGCTGCTGTTGCTGCAGCTTCAGCAGCACCACTTGCAACATTTGTTGCAGCTTGTGCTGCACCTGCTGCTGCTGATGCTGCAGCCTGTGCTGCTTCTGTTGCTGCAGTTTTTGCTGCTGCAGCAGCAGCAGCAGCAGGTAATGCAGTGTATGCCTCTATAGGAGATAAATCCTCATTTAAGAAGACAGAGGGAGGATAATTTGCTGCTGCTGCTGCTGCTGCTGCTCCTGCTGCTGCATGCGGACGATCAGCAAAGTAAGTAGAGGTATTCGCTAATGGTAGCCGCTGCAGCAGAGTTGGGCGTACACCTAAACGGCGACTCCTGCTGCTACTGCTGCTGCTGCTGCTGCTGCTGGTGTTGCTGCTGCTCTTCCTGCTGCTGCTGCTGCTTGTGCTGCTGCTGCATGCAGTTGGCAGCAACAACAGAGAATAAAGGCAGAGGAATAGAAGGAAACGAAGAGAGGCAGCAAAGGGCGTCATTAAATAAAAAAAAGAAATAAATAATTAAATTATATATTTATTCTTTTTATTTATTATTTATTATTTATATATTTATTTATATTTATTTATATTTATTTATTTATATTTATATTTATATATATATATAAGGGTTATATAACGAACAAATAAAGAAAATTGTATGCATAAAAAGAGGCAAATGTTTATTTTTTTTTCTTTTTTTTTATACAAATAAAATAAAAAATGACAAAAATAAATATAATTTAATTATAAATAAATAAATAAAACAAACAAATACAAAAAAAAAAGAATAAAATAATAATAAATAATATTATTCAATTTATGGTCTGTGTTACTAAGGAAGGGGGGGAAGAAGGAGGGGTGGCGTTGCTGCCTCCTTATATATATAAATAATAATAAAAAATACTATTTATTTATTTATTTATTTATTTATTTTATTTAAATAATTAAATTTATTTAATTCCTTTATTTTAATTCCTTTTATTGCTGCAGACCAGCAGCAGCAACAGCAGCAGCAGCAGCAGCAGCAGCAGCAGCAAGCAGGTGACCTGCTCTGCACACTTTGCAGTATACATACTGCAAACTTGAGGTGTATAGGCAGCTAATAAATAAATTTATATAAAAATAAATAAATAAATAAATAAATAAATAAATAATAAATTATATAAAGAGGGTTTACTGTTTCTCTATACATAGGGAGGAAAACCCTAAACCCTAATCATTGTTAATAAACCCTAAACCCTAATTATTGTAATAAACCCTAAACCCTTAACACGGGACAAACCCTAAACCCTCAGCAGAAGGCAGGGAGGGATAAACCCTTTAGAGAGGAGTAACAAAGAAAGGAGAATAAAAAAGATATAAAACCCTAAACCCTAAACCCTAAACCCTAGGGCTATAGAAGAATATAAGAGATAAAAAAGATAAATACAAATAAGGGTTTAGGGTTTAGGGTTTAGAGGCTAGGGTTTAATTATATCTATAAACAAATAAGAGGGTTTAATTGTTTCTTCTTATTATATACACTCTTATTTAATAGAGTATATATTCATAATGAAGAATTAGGGTTTAGGGTTTAGGGTTTAGGGTTTACGGTGTTTGTACATTTAA